ATCTCAGGCTTCTCTCTGTATCTTTTAAGCAGACTTTCAGATGGCCATAATGCAAAGCCTATTTAAAAGTCAGTATGTAGTTGTCACACGCTGTTGTTTGTGTTTCAGGGGGTCTACTTAATCACATTAGGAAGCAGAAACATGCCTACAGGTCAAACAGAATTTAAACTCTGAAATGCAATAGATTAAACTCTTGAAAACTGAAACCACACCTAGAGCCTCTTAAAAACAAAACTACACTGGAGTCAGCTTTCTTAAAGTTACTAGATGTATATCGTTATTAAACATTCAACAACCCAAATGCCACATGAAAAATACGGATTCATATATAGAATGGGCTGGAAAGGATCTGATATCTCTCTTTTACCTTCTTCTAAAGAAATTTCACATAATCTATTTTTTTCATGTCATAAAATAAAATTTTTCTTTTCTGAGAAGTCAAGCTGTTATTTTCAGGATTTTTAAAGAATTTTTAGGCTGAATTCTACTTCAGATTATTTTGATAACTAACATAACTAACAAAGCTAAAGAAAATCTGTTATAATGTGAAATGCCAAGCAGCAAAAAAGCTACAGTTATCACCTTGAATGAGACATAAGAAACAATCATATTATGTAAAGCTTCTACAAACCGTTATGTTGATGAGTAGCTTTCCTGTCCTGATGCATACTCTATAAGTATTTGCAAAATACAGGCCTTGCAGTATAGTGCTTGATCTTTCCTTTGTAAGGCCAAGGGCTGAATTCCCATATTGCTTTTACAGACAGCTTTACAATCCCCCAAACTATAGCAACACACACACCAGACTAAGGCAGTGGAAGAAGAAGCTTTTCAGAAATGCAAGTAAGAAATATAAACATATAGTAGACTTTGCTAGCCTAGCCCACTGGGCATATATTGTTGGTCACAGCATGGATCTAACACTGTGGGGAATGTTTACAGCATGGGATATGGGGAACTATACTCACAAACAATCGTGAGAACAGTGTATCCATTCTTATGTGAAATGTATTGAAAATTGACCCTGTTGGGATGTAAATGAGGAACTGGATTGTTGTGGAAATTCTACTTGTTCATGTGCTTTTTAGATGTTGAATTTTCTTTTAAAGTGATCAAAAGTGTCTTTGAATCACAACAGTCAAAGATGGCAAAGACCACATATTGCTCTAATTCTGTTCTTCATGACATCTTGCAGAGATTAATGCTAGAAAGATATTAATAGAACTTTTTGTTCCTTTACCCCAAACTGACACCATATGAAAGCCTGCCATGATAGCTTTGCAGTATCATCTCTGTTTTCGAAGCTATGCCATGTAAATTAAACTGGGAAGATCACATCAAAGCTAAAAAGAGCCAATATGTACTACATACAGACATTTAAACACCTGCCATATCCTCCCTTGCTCAGGTAGTAAAATAATCATTCTACCCTGTGTAGCTTGAGTGCTTCAGCCTTCCATTTTGCCTTCCTTCCTCCCCATTTCTTTCTATCCCATGGAACTGCTGAGTCCAAGTTTGCAAAGCTTCTTCTGAAATACAGGATAAGTCTGAAGACAATATTATAGCTCTTCCAATTGTTAGGATATGGTACTTTCAGGGCTTTCTTATCACATTTTTGTCTAGCAGTGAAAGAAATTGGCAGATCTGAGCATTGCCAGGCAAGCAGCACTAGCAGAGATTCCTTACACTTGTAACAATACTAGTGATGACTAAACAAGATGCTCTGGGCATACATCAGAATGTGGTATAGAATGGACTGATCTGAACTACCACTGAAGGGTCCCGTTGACTCCTTGAGGCTGTGGTGGTAAACGCTAAACTTCTAAATTAGTTTTTCAAGGAAAAGGCTTTCTTCAAAAACGCTTTACAATCTTACTGAGCCACTGAAATCATCCACACTAAGCCCACTGTTATGCTACCAATGTTGATATTTTAAAGTTATATTCAGGAAAACACAGTAGTGTTAATTTTTTATGGTATTGTTTCCTTACTGCAATAAAACATTGAAAAAAAATTTTACTTCACTAAAAATAAACAACCAAGCAAACATACAAACAAAAACATTGCAACGACAACAAAAAACACCATGACATCTTTGTTTCATAGAGGAATAAGACTTCTGTAACAGATAAAGTTTAAAAAAAAAAAAAAAAAAAAAAAAAAAAAAAAAACCAAAAAAAAAACACACCTGTCCTTCCTTTCAAGGAAATGTACCAGAGGCCTCAAAGAGAAAAGCTAAGTCACCATTAACAGTATTACACTGCTTAGTATTTAGTTCAAATTGTTCACAAAGCAAAATGAAAGTAATGCTCAATCATCCATACCATTATTTAAATAAGGAGCCTCTTTCCACCTAAAAGCAATTCAGAAAAGTGAGTTTGAAATATTATTCTATTCTCATACATTGCAGTTGGGATATATGGAAAGCTGAAATGCTTGAAAAACTTACTGCAGTGATAAAATTGAATTTGAATTAAACCTTGATGCCGTGACTTTTTAATCAGTGAAGCAATCTGAATACAAAAGCTGGCAAGTAAATTGAGTGGGAAGATGCAGTTTTATGCAGTTATTTTTCCAAGGGGAAATGAGTATTATCTTCCATTTTCCACTTAAAAAAATACAGTAAAGATTACTCATCCTTAAAAGAGATGTTAGCACACTACTTACTGGAAATGTAGGAGCAATAGTAGTTGATATAAGTGCAGAAGTGTTACAAAAACATGCCTTTTATGTCAATGACATGAACAAAACAATTGCATTTCAATAAGTGTTTAAAAAAGCTTAATTTCTGCTTATTTAAGCATATGTACAATTTTTATACTTAGATTAGAAGTTCACAGTACACTGCACTAGAATCTGAAATTTACATACATAGCATAAATATATGCCTATGGGAACTTCTCTATTTGAATTTAATACAATCACTGTTCAGGGATTATTTCTCTCAGATTAGATTTTATCCAGAGAGCAAAAGCCCTGTGTACAGATAAGTTGGGAAGTGGGTGAAGTGCTTCTCAGTATCCTGCCAAGAGCTTGACATATCTCAGGACACAGAAACAGACCCAGTAATTAAAAGGGGTGTATGAATCTTACAGTGTTTATAAGCATTAATGGTAAAACCCAATAAATTTGTAGTGCTATCCAGAACTAAAGCACTCATTGGTAGAGGAGCCTTTGAAATGCAGAAAGTCTTCCCTCAATAGACTAATCTCTTCTCAAGGCAACTACTGCATCTCTCTTGCCAACCAGTTTAATAACTGTTGTAACTAAAGAAGATGCAATACTCTGGTCGTGGAGTAAAAAAGCCCTGCAGAGGTAGATCTTACCATATAGATCATAATCTCATTCAAAGATCTATTTTTGCCTCTGCTACTATTCTCATCTGCATTATAATCAAAATCTGAAAAAGCAATATGCTACCAAGGAACTCAATGAGCACTTGAAAAGAGAAGCCATTATCTAGAATATTGACTAACAGGAGAACATTTAAATACTTCAGGTCATGACAGACTTTGAAACTCTCAAACAAACGGCATCTGTCTCCAAGTTTAAACCCGCTTTTCTGTATTAAAATCAATGAATTTATGACCATTTATAGCAGACAGGGATAGGGCTCAAAGAAAGTATAATTAGCATTTTTCAATGCCAGTTCAAGTGTTAGTGAAACAACAGAAATGGGAAAAAGCTTTTGTAGATTTGCCTTAAAAAATCCTTGTAAAGATTAAAAAAAAAAAATCCTTCTATATTTCATTCTCAATCAAAGCCTTGCAGCTATTAGAGTCATGAATTATTACTTATGAAAACACAAACAGAAATACAGATAGAAAATCAGAGTTAGTTTAGTTGGTCCTACCACTTGAGGTTTGAAAATCTAAAAGTTTTTTTTGTTTGCTTTGTACTGAATAACAGTTTTTCACAGCAGTTTCACAGAGTTGTCATAGAGAACCTTATGATAAATGATAGGAGAAAGACACTGTCTTGTTAAAACATCAAAGATGACTGCTTTAATTCCAAACCACTGCTCCTTTTCCATTGCAAGAACACAGAACTTTGGGCAAGGGGTGGCTCATATTCTTCTCCTACTGCACTTACTTCTCCTCTCCATCCATCTTCTGATTTACATACACATTTTGAAAATAAACTGTGCTTGCAGAGCTCTTAAATTCCACTTATCTGTGCAACATACAGAGTGCTGTCTTTGGGTCTACGAATGGGTTCAGAATCTAAACATACCATGGGAAATTCCCATGAATGCACGGGAAGAATCAACAAGATCCTGGCCTTCGGTTTCTGACATACAGTTTGGCTTCTATTACGAATAAAACTAAGGGGAAAGGCCAGAAGAAGTGTGAAACATGTATATTTACTACTTGGAACTTTAGTCTGATGATTTCTCTGACTCCAAGCTTGTTTTGAAGCAAACTCTCCTTACTCCAAGATTAAAGAACCAAAACCAAACAGCCTGCTATATAACTCTTAGTTCTGTGGGGGTTTTTAATGTGAGGTTTGTTGGTTTTTTTTTTCCACTTTTGCTGTCCTCATTGGCCCTTTCTTTCTCAGTGGCATCATGCTCTGAGGCACTCTAAGTATATCTCTTTAGACTTTTCAGAGCACTGTAGCCTTACCACTAGCACACCCAAAGAGACACACTCTAATATTTTCATCTCCCATCATTTACATAGGTGTCGAAATTCTTTCTGTGCATCTAGATTCATTTTCTAGTGAATGTCTGCCTGCCTTGTTCGCCTTCAAAGGCTAAAGTAGCAGAAAATCAGTTTTGGCCTGAATTTAAACCTTCAAAAACATAACAAGAGAACATTCTCTTTATAACATTAATACACAGAAAAAAGCATTACAAATTCTTATGCCCTGTTGCTTACTTCGCAGATTTTGTGTTGCAAACTCTCGAAAATCAGAGATTTTACTTGGTGATGCAGAAGATAAAACACTGCTGTGCCTTTCATTGCGTTCACAACCTTCTGAGAGGCTGAAATTTTTACCTGATTTCTTGGATCCACCTCTTCCATCCATGAGAGGATGCAGCCATGGAAGTGGCACTGTAATTACATTCTTCACTTTTGCACCAAGAGGAGGAAACATCGTGAAAGCCATTTCAACTGCCTGATGCTTTTTGATGTTTCTTATAGCAGTAGCAGAAGCTGCAGAACAGAAAAAAGGATAATGATCAACATATTTTCCCTGATACTTATATGCAATTGGCACCCACAACAATAGCATCTATAAATAGATTTCTTTTTATTACCTTGAACATACCACCATGAAACTGTGGACTTTCGTAAGACAAAAAGATTGAGATGTACACAGATTTATTGGCTACAGGATATGATTACAAGCCAGGAGAAAGATGCCAGTTTGGAAAAATACAATTAACTATTGTTCTAATACATCAACTAGTTTAATACACAGATATATATTCTATGACAGTAACTAAATAATATGGCTCTGAGTAGAGCCCAGTAATAAGCATAACAAAAATTCTCACAGGCATGTAATGCTTAATGGAAGATATTCAATGATCACAAACTGTAGCACACCTTAAGTTAGACCAGAAAATTATATGGCAAAAAGCAATACTTACTAACAGTACCCTAGTAAAAAATAGAAAGAAATAAGATTTCAGAGATTCTTATCTGTTTTTTGACATGAATCTTCAACGACAGCTGAACATCATACATTTGAAAAAGTGGAACATTTCTGACTTGAAAAGGTTCAATTCTACAACAGTGTCTTGTGCATGTACTGAACACTGCATTCAGGAGCATTCAGGAGATATGAGTCCTCATGAGATAAAGGAGCTCATGTATGGAGGGCTCACTTTCTTGGAAACTGTAGCCTGGTTCCTGGCTGCAGGAGCAGCTAAAACAATGCAGATTTCTGATTATTTTTTTTTTTGTTTTTGTTTTTGTAGCAGCAATTAGAATAGCCTCTTTAGAAGCTTGTTTGACTATGGAGGAGAAGTTACTTTTCCTTCTGGTTAACACCAAATGCAACTTTTTTCCGGGATGCAGATACTGACACTCACTGTTAGAATACCTTTCATATCTTTCAGAAAAGTGCAATGAGCCAAAAGTCTTATAGTATGGTATTGTTAACAGTCCTGGTTATTAACCATTTGGGTCACATCTAAAACTCCATCTGTACGTGAAGGGGTCTATATTACAATAAATTTCAAGGCCCACTCAGCACTGAACTTTCCATGTTTTCCTGTTGCAGTTCAATAAAATCACGTTGTGTTACATTCGTTTCCATGTAAAATAAAGTGAATGTCACATTTTTTTGTCATACCATTTTTATTTAACACTTTTTTTCTATATCCATTAGTTTAAAAAGTTACAAGGCAAATCATTTATCAAAATGAAAAACGCTGTACTCCTTGAGCAAGGAAAAGTCTAAATAGAATGTCCCAGTTCTTAAATTAATGGAACTATTTTACATTTAATATTTTCTCTTAAGGAGTTATGTAAGCACTCCAAGATCATTAATGAAGAAGTACAGAATCACAGTTTACAGTTGAAGGGCAAAACTGCTAAAAAAGCTTTTCAGACTTATGTCATTGAGTGATATAGTGTACAAAAATAAATGCAAGGATCACTGATCTATGGTATCATAATTAAACATCCAGAACTCACGACAAGGAGAAAGGATAGTGAAGTTCATTAAAACTTGACTTGAACATAAGCGGCAGGACTAATCAAGCAGATATACTAGGGAAGGCTCAGGTTTATAATCAAGTAGACCTTTCCTTTTAAACAACAGCATCCTAAAACTATATTTTCTGTTACTATTCTGGTTTTAAATAAGACTACTTGTTTCTTGTGTATGAAGATAATTTATCCGTGTCAGATTAACTCATCAATTCACCTGTTGGTATTGTGACAGCAGTTCTGCTGTCCATCATAAATCCGGCTCTCACTTGCCATCCAGATGCCAATACACACATTCTCAGCCTTCTGTCTAAAATATCTGATAGAATAGATTTATCAGGGCTTCCTTAAGCAACACGGTAACTGACTTTTTAACGAGCAACACTGTCACTGCAATGAAAGAAAATTCACAGAAATCAGACAGAGTTCATCCCAGCGAGCTAATGGAACTTGCAGAAATAGTATTGGAGCCACTGGTTGTTTTTCTTCAGAACTAATGGAGAACAGCCAAGGTTCCAGAGCTGGGAAATGACAAACCATACTACCTATCTTTACAGGATAAAAAAATCCCACCAGCCTAATGGGGAACTAATGAACAGAGAATTCAAATTCAAGTTGCCTAGTTAGCTAGTCAGTTGGCCAAATTCCAAATTGTTGCAAAAGCATACTGAAACGTGGGGTAATAAATAGTATAATTAGGAACTGGAAAAGATGTACACCTACAATCTAAATATTGTTGAACACAGGCCTCCTGCTTAGTTCTATGCTACCATTGAGCCCCATTGTACCACTCTGTACCACTCTGCCACAGACACTTCCATTTGTACCAACAATTAACAATAGCCAAATTTTATCAGACTTCAATACAAATAATCCTGCACTCTCTCACTGTTTCCCAATACTTGGGCAGAAAAACTTTATTTTGACAATGCCCCTTCCTACCATTCATTTTTCAATATTAGACTGAATTTGTCAAATAGTAAGCTTTAAATTACATGCAAAGCATACTAAAAAAGACAACATATAACGAGATGGAACATAGGCCTATCACATTTGAGTCTACAAACTCATCAGTTATAAAAACATTTTAAGAATCAACTGCCAGGTTTCCATTTGCAGTGTTTTAGATCATTTCCCTGCCAGTTACTAAAAGTTTCTCATGTTGAAAATCACATGATAATAGTAGATTCCTCTTTTTTCCCAGAGGACATGGAAACTATAAACCAAAAAAACAAAGAAACTCTTAGAACAGGCCAGGTTATTAAGAAAGATACACACAAAATATTTTCCTTCTCAATGTAGCCCTGAAATACTTTGATAAATAACAAATTAGTCTTTTGGGGAATGTGTCGTTAGGTTCCAGAAAAAAAAAACCAACAACAACAAAAAAAAAACACATTACCTAGAGCATGGGGAAAGCATATAGTATATAATTTTGCATACTGCTGGATGAAACATTTATGCACTTCTTAAAAGCAACCAAGGCACGAGCAAGGTCACAAACCAGAAGGAACACAGATACAGGTAAGTTATTGATCAACGCAAATTCAATTAGACAGCGTTACGCTGATGCTAACTGGACATCTTTTAGTCCATGCTACAAAGAGTGAGTGAGCATTCTCTTTGTAAGAACTAAAGCATTCACTGTAATTCTATGCAATAAAAACAATGTTCACTGCTGGAATCAGGTCTGTATAATATGCTTATAAAGTCACATTCAGCATGTTTTATTTACATGTTTCCTTACTGCTATTCTGAAATTTCCAAGTTGTTAAGATTCGTTTTGAAAACATCACTTGTTAGCTCTTGGGTACTCAAAGAAAATAGCTGAAAAGTGTAGGGGTCATTCACGCTTATGACTTAATTTTAATAGTAGAGAATAATAATAATAATTCTTTTTAACATGAGAGAAAATAAAAATCTAGAATGTTTAAAGTTGATTAGAATGACCAAAAATACAATAAAGAAAAGAACACATGCTTGGTTTGTCTACCATTATGACTGCATGCCTTTTGAAAAATGCAATGAATTATTTGTACCTATTGATACATGCTTCTTTTACTTTCATAGTTTTATCACTTTCTATTTTAGTTTTGCTTAGTATGTTATATCTTTGATACTAGGAAATGCGATCCTTTTTTCTTTTCCTAACATAATTATGTTTATTTCTGAATATTCACCTGTATCTTTTGAACTATGATTGCAATTCAATATAGGGTATTGCTATTTTTCACTAATAGCTGCAGTTATTCTACGTGATGTTGGTTTCAGACGTAAGAATCTGATCGGTACCTGATACCTCACACCGCACATCACATCAGCCGCCCTTTTGTCAGACTGCTCCTCTACTGCTATCTGTCAACGACAGCAAAATGGCATGGTATATTGCTGAGATGGTTCAGCCTCTACTTCCATACCACCGACATCCACCTCTGAAGTCTTGGCACAACAACATAATAAAATTGGAGGCATTACTTTTGGAGCAGTGTGGGTTGTTTTTTTTTTTGTTTGTTTGTTTGTTTTTGGTTTTTTTAGAAGTAGTCACAGGATGAAGAGCCCAAAACCAACAGTTTCTTGATTGGACTGGAACATAAATCCAAGGAATCCACAGAATTCATGTAGTCCAGCACCAAATTGTAATAATTTATGTTTTTAAGAAAAGAGAGGGGTGGTGGGGGAGGTATTAGACTTCATGCTCAAAATGTGGATTTCTTTCCTTACAAAATTACGCTTTCAGTCTTTAAATCTCAAACAATGATTAAGCTTTCATTCAATGTGAAATGCCATGCAAAACTCTAAAATACATTTTCATATTCCATACAATGAGATAGTTGGAACAGATAAACAAAATGACTCTAAATGGATTGTGTTTTCGAAACTGTGTTAGAATAAACTCTACATTTATTTTCATCAACACTGCAGACTTGTCTCATTATCCAGATTCATATTTGTTTTCCAGAGGCTAGCTAATTCTCAAAATAGAGGAAATGCATTCGTTACTCATTTAATATAGATATATGACAGTCTGAGGTCCAATAAAGCTTGTATTGCCTTCATTTTAGGATTGCTATATTAATAATAGGTGGCAGACTTGTAAGTTTGATATATGTATTTTCTCAAATGACTCTCAAACAAAATTTTATAGAATATTATATATGTAACAACTGTATTCAGACGTGATTAGTAAGGTTGCAAAGTCAAGTAGTTAAGCATTATGTTCCCTTTTGCATGTGTTCTATGATATGGTCCTTAATTTCATGATCCACATGAGTCCTGTTGGCTTCGCTGCATCAGGATCACAGTGTTCACCTTTTTCAGTGCATTATTCCAGGACTTCATTACCATACGGTACTCACATTCTGAACCAAAGATAGAATAAGTGGTTTCATTGTGAGCTTTTCCATGAGACTCATCACAAGAGTTATCAAATGTTCGTAGATGCTAACAAATCTACTTTTGTAAGAAACCAAGGGAGGAACAGGTTTTATTCATGA